AGGATTTAATCATTAGCTGACATCAGTTAGAGAACCACTGGAAAACCTGGGAGTACTGGACAGCTGTTTCGTCCTATTTTGGGACTCTTCATCAGTACGCACCCGCCGGGATTCGAACCCAGGACCTTCTGGTTACAAGGCGAGCTCGTAGACCATTGGCTCAAAGCAGTTACCGGCATAGTGTAAGAATTCTTCTTTTTTACACTATACTGGGGTTCTGTGGGCGAAGTTGTACTGTTGGGAAACAGGGATGTAACAGCAGCAAGCTGTTTCCCTCGGATGACCAGCATGCCAGCTATGCTGTCTCTCCACTCTGGAGAGAAGAGATTAGAAAAGCTTGACCCCAAAAACTGTACATCCCGACTTACCCTACGGTGGTCCGTAACCGATGGTGAGTTCACCCATACGAAAGCAAACCAATAAACCATTTCAAACAGACCGCGCGTGACCGGCTTTAAGCACCTGTTCCCTAGGCGCTGCGGTCACGCAACACACCCCCTCTCTCTTTCAGGTACGCGAAGAATCAACCAACTTCCACGGTGTGGGCAGTCGAGAAGTAACAACCACCTACACACACTTCCACAAGCACACGAAGCCTTCCTGAACATCATTTTCCTCATGCCCAACCTTTGCTCTTTACCAGCTTTATTTCTGGCTTAGCGGGGTTAAGGAATGTGTCGACTGTGGGGATCGAACCCCGGACCATTTGCATGGTTGGCGAACGTCCTGACCGCTGTGCCACCAACTCACATATATATATGTATATACTTCTAATCTCCAAAATATTGAAAACTTTATTTTTGAATAGGCAGATTTTCGCATTTTGTTTAAATGCGTGCCTGGTTAAAAAATAACTACGCCTATGTTTATTTCATCGTCTATTCACAAAAAGCATCTCCTTGTTGTGAGGCAATATTACGCCTATACCATGTAAACAAAATAATATTGAAACTTTAGATTCGTGATTATTATTATTATTGTTACTATAGTCTCTTTAAATTCTTTAAAGTGCGAGTGGAGTAATCATTATGTTGCATTAATCATATACTACTTACAACGCCTGTTCTAAAAGGCTGAATATTTATTCCGTTTTTCTTCTAATAACTGCAAATGCTGAAATTATCTACGCATTCATTGTATAACTTGATTATTACTATGGTGAATTTCATCATTACTATTAATTTATTATGTATACATATTTATATTATTATTAGTAGTAGTATATATGAGCACTCAATTCTCATTCACTTATTGGTTCTTCCTCTTTCCACCCCTCCCCGCCCGCTCCGCATCCCTCCACCTTATATACTCGTCTCATAGTTTACATGGCAAACTAAGTAAATATTGCCAGTCTGTTCGGTATCAGGATGATATTGATTTTCTCTCTCTCTCTCTCTCTTCATTATTTCCTTCATATGCTGTATATATATGTATTTATTTATTCTTTTTCGTCTCCTCTGTTACGTGACACACATAGGGGAGTAATTATCATATCTTTATCTTTACACAGACAAATAGAAACAGAAACATCTTGAATTAGATCATATGATGAAGATAAAGACAAGAATTATTTATTAATATTATTACTATTACTACTCCTAATATTACTACTGCTGATGCTCAATGGGATTCAGGCATATTGACAGACAAATGGAATATAACAAGCTAATGTTAAAAATAGTCTGTTGTTACATTTTTACTATACCATACACAAACACGATAATCATACACTAATGTTATGTTATGTGTACAAGGGATTAGATGATTTCTCCACGATTACAACACATTTGCACGATATCTTCAGCATCATATTACGGGGGGAGGAAGATTTTTTTCCCCTTATTGCTTCTAAGATAACAAAAAAATGCACTAATGCTTTCTCATTCTATTCCATCTTAATGAAAAATGTTATCACAATGATAAAGATCATAATATTAAGAAGGCTATATAAGCAGCAATGACTACTATTACTGTTACTATCGATGACATAACATTCAAGAAAGTGTAGATATATAATAAGAACTGTTAAACCAATTGTTACACTGGAAAAGACTTCTGTGAAATATTACTCTTTCATATATATATATATATATATATATATATATATATATATATATATATATATATATATATATATATATATATATGGCAAAGTTAAACCCCTAAGCACCACCACCACGAACCAATGGATCGCAACTGCACCGATGACCTTGAATCGCTCACTGAGCAAGTTAGCGAAACCTGGAAAATAATGTTGTCATCATCAATAAAATATCCTCATCGAAGTATTATGTTATTAAATGGAATATCTGACAAGTTTCAGCTTAGGTTTGGGAAAGATTAAGTTACGCTTTAAGCCAAGGACAAGTTAGGATTAGGTTAACCTATTAAACGCGACACTACGGTTGGTTAGAGTTAGATTACAGTTAGTTTAGGGATATTTTCACGTTAAGGCTACGTTCAGGAAAGATTAGGTTTATTGTTAGGTTTAGAAGACCTAAATAATTACATGCATAGAATGTGGTTAAATTACTCTGTTGATATAAGAATACAACTTGTGCACTGTAGTAGAGTATAATTCCATTGTGGGTAAAATCTATTTTGATAAATTCTCCCAATATTACTGATGATGTTTCAAGCACAGTTTATTGCCCGGTAAATATTACTGTATAACACCATGAAACTTTATCGAAATAAATTTTAACCACAATGGGATTATACTCAGTTGATACTCCAACCTAAAACCGAGAGCTATTTTTGTCACATGTGAGAGGAAGGTATCCTCTGTAACACTTTTCTACACTTCTTAAGCATTTTTTTCATAAATATATACATTTAATACACAAAAATGACTCCTTCACGTGGTTGGTGCGATTTAGATCATTTGCTGATTGGTAGTTATTGATGGTTAAAGTTTAACTTGGCCATATGTACTTATAGTCACTGGGACCTTGTGGTTAAATGGTCTACGAGCTCGTCTTGTAACCAGAAGGTCCTGGGTTCGAACCTCACTGGGTGCGTACTAATAAAGAGTTACGGACTAGGATGAAACAGCTGTCCAATACTCCCAGGTTTTCCAATGGTCCCCTCTAACCGTTGTCAGTCCATGATGAAGTTCTGAAACCCATCAAATCCCTGCAAACCAACAGGAGTGGGTACAGCCATAGAATGCATTGTTATGGGAATAATTATAATAAGAATAATAATAAATGCCCTTTCAGTTATTCAGTAAAGGTGTTTTTACGCACTAGTTTATCAGCTGTAAGATATAAGGCCTTATAATATCATATAGGTGGAGCGGAGGTTGAGACCAGTATTAATTTATTTTCAGATGCGTGTACAACTCGACTAATCAATCTATCACTGAATTTCGGTGGTTGGACAAGAACCGAATAGTAAGCCAAAAAAGAAGAATTAGTAATAATAATAATCGAATAAGACAACTGAATCAATAAACAGTTTTTACTAGGTTTGAAACTAGAAATCTGATCCAATGCAATGCTTGAGCACCGAACTATAACAAAATCAAGGGTTTTTGGGAATAGTACTCACAAGGTTAGCTCTAATGTGTGTGACATATTATCTTTTTTATATAGACTGGAGTAATCAGCGATCATGAGCGTCGGTGGCATAGCGGTTAGGATGCTCACCGACCATGCACATGGGCCGGAGTTCGATTCCCGGCCGCCAACGCACTCCTTAACCTCGCTAAGCCAGAAATAATGCTGGTAAAGAGGAAAGGTTGGGCATGAGGCTAGGTACCCCATCCTGTAAAATAAACACTGCTACAGAAACTTCAGGCCACTGGATTGAAGTCCTATGTTCCACTGACGAATGTGAAGCAAACAAAAATTTTTTTTAATCAGTGATCATAAGGATTAAGAGATTTTACTAAACTGAAACCATATCATTGTCAGGTCAACTAAAGGACTCTTTAACTCCAATCATATCATTTCAGTCAAGTACTTTAATGAAACTGGAAGACTTGAAGCAATTTGATATCTTATTATACGTACCATCAATGCATCAGTTGTATTTCGGAAATGTAGTGACTGATACTAAAATTAGATATAAAATGCTGCAAAAAGAAAAACTGTTAGTCTATTTATCTCGATTAACTTGACTAAGACATGTTCTACCCATTTTAAGCCTTAACTTTCAACGATCAGCAATGTAGGACTTCACTCTAAACAGAAGTTATGTGTAGTCGGAGCAACATGTAACAATAATTTATACCATCTCTGATTACTGGTCTGACTGACTGGTTTCAGCATAAAAATTCGCAGAGATGTACAGCCATTCGAGTCGCCACACTTCACTCAGCACACAAGGCATAAAAAAAGAAAGTGAAAAGAAATGCAGAATGGAGATAGTAAACAGAGATAAAGAGAAAAAGAGAAAAGTAATGTCAAAAAACAATACAGTTTTATGGGGTATTATAAGTTACTAGGACTGGATGCATCTTCGCCAGCCATTGAGAACGATTTTGAGTCATATCACCGATTGTATCAAGCCATTGGCTTTTACCGTCCCGAGAACCCCAACCAGGAAAACTGCAACTTCCTACGTGGCTGGCTTAAACTAATTGTTGTGGATTTCATTGACTGATGCCATGTTGTCGTTTGACCACCACCGGCTCTTTACCAACCTGACCCTATGTCAGCTAACATTGCCCGTCGAGGAAGGCGATGGCTACTCCGTTTTCAGTCGTTTAAATACGATTTTTGAATATATATGAACCAGTAATAAAAATCAAGTGGAAAAAGAATATCCCAGTGTCCCGTATAGGGTAAGTATTCCGTTAGCGATAAATATAAAAATAACTATTATAAATTATTTAAATTAATCCCAGCGTGTTTAAGAAAAAATAATGAATCAATCTGACTCGGAGCTCAAATTATTCCAGGAAGTTCGTAACACCTACGGTCTGGAAACTTATAATAAAAATAACTGCTTAACAATTATAACAATAATAATAATGAGAAAAATTATACACCTACCGTCACACAAAAATGCAGGTTCACCACCATTTGAGGTAGAGTCTGCAGGATTTAAGTATGGACAAACAGTTTCGACCTGAGTACACCATGAAATACAAGGTTGTATAATCTCAAGCCGGAATAGTACATGAGAAGTTAACTGAAACTCTGTAAGAGTAGGATATCGATATGTGCCTGCGTGTTCTGATGTTGATTCTATAGAAGGCACAGGCGATGATGACAACAAGGATTTATTTAATAGGATAGGGTCAGTTACGTGAACACCAGACAACTTGGAATTAATAGATCGATCTGCAGATACTGAAGTATGCGGTTGATCTAAGTTAACATCATCAGTTATGTCATTGTTTATTGACTTTCGTTGTAAATGCATAGTTATATCTGAATCATCTAATGGATAGTACAGTGGGAATTCTGTTGCACAGTACCAATTTCTGTAAGCTTCCTAAAAGCGGAGAAAGAAGGAATCAGAATTAAGAGTTGCTGATAAATGGAAAGTACAGAGAATTACAAATGTGAAAAATTCAATGCCGAAAATTTTGGGAAATTAGTAATAAACTGAAAAAACTAATATTAACCAATCGTTGTGAATTTACACATAGTTTATTTGGTTACCAATATGACATGAATACAATCAATCAATCTTATCAATCTTCATTCTCTTGCAAACTAATCCTACTTTCCCTAACAGTGTGCGTTGAAGAAGACAGTAGGTAACGATTTTTGACACATGTCTGAAGTTACTTCAATCAACGCCGACTGACAACTCTAATGGTTAAGTGTAACAAAAAAACAACCTCAAACTTAAAATGTATACTGGATCTGACTTCATACGCAAGGAATAACATTTAGTTCATTTTTCTTTAGTTATTTAGTTAGAACTTATGTAACCGACACATATTTCACATGCATCACACACTTGCTCTTTATGTGAAGGATTAGGATGCTAACTAGGGAAGCAAGTTGAACAAGGATTCGGGCAAACATGGCTTACTGACTGCAAACAGAAAAAATACATCTTTTCTTCTGAAGAGGTATACGCCAAAAGGCATTCTGATTTAGTCGCTTTTCTGTTATACAGTAAAATATGATAATCAATGACCAGACTGATTAAATAGCTTCTTCCTTGACAAGAATTAACCAAACCCAGTTGTGTATGGTTGCTGAACCAAATCGAACTTATCTCTCTTATTAAGTGATAATTATGTAATGATCTACTTTATTTTACGCAGACACCTTCAATTTTCCAATAAAGTATCATCCACAGAAATATTGCAAACATCTTCAACTTCAGCATGAATGATAGTGCAGGTAATACTTCGAATTAATTCAAATCCACATCAAACTGAAAAAAGACACGTCATTATTCACCACATTTTTCTCCTATTCTCAAAAGTGCCTCACGGATAAAATCATTCACACCGATTTTTTCATCGGCTAAGTATTTCGAGCGCATACAGTAGAAGGAAGAATATTATAATAATTGTAACTAAACTTAAAAATTTTTTATTAATGCCATCTGATCTGGAGACAAAACGATTATTATTCAGCATGGACAATGCAGAATCACAAATTATTTATCCTTCCACACTTCTGTGAGCATTACAATGCGTACCCACAATAAGTGTTAGGCCTAGAATTTCTTCATATTCAACTGACTTATTTCAAATTCAATGTGGGTTTGCTTAATGTAACACACAGTGGTACAGTATTGATAACTAGGTGATCTTTTGACAACAAATTATTGCTCATAATCATGTCAATTTATTCACACAATTTTATAACTTGCTTCGTACAATTTTCTCTCGCCCTTGTGTTCTATTGCAACTCTACACATATCCGATAACAGGCGTTGTGTCACTTCGACTTCACGTATTTGATGTTGATTCAGTGGACATATATACGGTAAATAACCACAATCTCCACAGAGCTATATTGTTTTTTAATGGTCTTTAACGTATCTCATCCCATTAAGTGATTACTTGCAAGTAGGATTTTTAATGAGGCTGTAATTAGGATGGCATTTAAAGGAACCAACCCTCTGAGGCGCGAAGCTTGGCAACTTAAGGATTCAATATTTCCCAACTGAGAAAGGTAATATAATCTGCCAAATACCATTTAATGTCTATGAGATCAGTTACATAGGTCAAACTAGTAGATCAGGGTGAATTAGATCATCGGAACATAAGGGTTTAGTTAGAGCTAGAATAATTGACCCAGCTGTGGTTAAATAATCTAGAAAAATGTCCAGTTATTGCAATGCATTCATTTGCATGTAATCACACGATGGGGTTGGAATACGGTAAAAAGTAGTAAGAAGCAATATGGTTCGGTGGAGGGAGAGAGGTTTTTCACCAAAACAACACCAAACACCTGCAATTGAAGTGACACAACGCCTGTTATCGGATATGTGTAGAGTTGCAATGGAACACAAGGGCGAGAGAAAATTGTACGAAGCAAATTATGAAACGGTGTGCATAAATTGATATGATAATGAGGAATAAACTGTTCTCGAAACATCATCCAGTTATCAATACTGTACCATTGTGAGTTTCATCAAATAAATTTATCCAATATGGAATTATACTCTATCACAATACCCAAATTCTACTCTTACATTATTTATGTGAAAGTTAGCTGTCCAACTCAACAGCAAAAAATGACTGGATGATAATCTACTAATTTTATACATGAAATTATTGAGTTAACAATAGTACTAGTGAGGAATACAGTTGCGACTTCTATCAAACCAATGCGATTACGACAATGTATCACTGACTGAACGATATTAATAAAATTCAGCACAGAATCATATCTATGTGACCACCTTTCGAAAACACATATAAAATGAGGGAGCTGAAATGAAATAATAATTCTACAGGTGAATAAGGAGATGGTAGTGCCAACAACTGAAAGAGAATCAATGGAACTATTTACGATCCGGAAAAAAGCGTTACCTTAAAAAAAACGTGAAGAGTAGATACAAAGATACTTAACAGTTCTGAACACTTTATAAACAGGGAATAATTTCTGATGAAGAAGCAGTGGCTTACACAGCAAGACGTCCAGAAAAATCATATTGTGATTTTTTTCAACACGTGCTAGTATTATTGAATTCAATTTAGATTTTTCCATCGAAGAACCAAGTTCTCGGTCTCAAGTTGATATGTCGGCTCTTAGTGCATATGCTTCGACGATGTCTGGTCATGGAACTGGGAAATGCAGGTACACCTAGGTGATGAGTCCCAAACGGGGCGAAATGCGCATCTTTTGAATTCCAATGCTAGTCGCCATCCACCAACTGAATGCTAAGATTATTTTACGTGATTTTAAAGGGGGATAAATTTTAACCAGGAATTTTACGCACTTAAAGTTTTACAGACGCTAAGAAATATCTTAAATAGAGGAATTATTTTAAGAAGAAGAAGAATAAAATAACTCTTAGACATATATCAATAAAATTTTCAAGTATTCAAAATGTCTATTTAGAAAAGAGTTACAATCTTGGTTACCTCGATGACTAAAATATGGTTATTTTAAAGTGTCTGTCTGGATTCAACATATAACTTGGCACCGAAGTGCAGCACTTCGAGTTGCCACATTCCAAATAGCACACAAAGATAGACAAGAAGATGAGTGGAGAGAACCAATAGAGTTTGACAAGTATAAGAGTGAAACAGAATGGGTAACGATAAAAAGGAATATGAAAGATTACAGAGACTGAATACATCTGCACCATTGACAACAATTTCGAGCCATGTCACCTGTTGTCTTCAGCCATTGATTCTTAGAGTCCCGAGGGCTCCAACCCGGAAGTCTGCATCTCCCTACCTGACTCAGTTTAACTGTCAAGGATTTCATGGATTGATGACATGTTTTTGTTTGGCCACCACTGGCTCTTTTCCAATCTGCACCTATATCTGCTAGTAATGCCCGTCCGGAGGGGGGGGGAGGCGATGGTTAGGCATGCGCAGTACCTGACCTAGCCATCTCAATCTATGCAACTTTATAGCCTCGTCGATTGGTTTTACCTCTTTGCCCAACACTCTACGCCTAACGTCAACATTACTTACCTTATTAAGCCACCTAACGTTAGACAGAGATCGCAGACATCCATGATCGAAAGCAGCCAACCTTTTCATGTCTTCAACTCGTATTGGCCATGTTTCAGAGCCGTAGAGAAGGACGGAGCGAACTGCTGAGCAGTACACACGTCCCTTGGTTGATAACCGGATGTCACGCCTACGCCAGAGATGGTGTAAGTCAGTGAAATCAGTTCGAGCTTTTTGCATCCGTGATGAGATTTCGTCGCCAATCAGTCCGTTGGTGCTGATACAACTTCCCAAATAGGTGAAGTGGTCAACACGTTCTATCACTTTAAAGAGTGTTATCAGGCACAGTCTGATTCATGCTTATTTGTAAGAGAAAAATTATATCATAACAAAGACTCTTCTAGCTGTGTCGCTAGTTACTCTTTTTGAGAGAAAAAGACAAACAAAACAGCAACACTGAAACAATCTTATTATAAAAAATAAACAAAGATTCCCACAAAATTTAATCTACGCATTACGACGCCTACTGTTTGTTGTCAAACTGTTACCATAACTTCGTAAAACAGTTTAAACAATTTAGTCTTTTAAAAGTTAATATGAGGAGGTATAAAGTAGAGTGTTGGTTGACGTATTTTGACGAAAGTATAAACTATATATTAATTTGTCATATAATGAAAAATTCTAGTTAAATCAATCAGAAATATATATATATATATATATATTTCTCAACATATTCTTTTTCCTGAAATAAAACAACTGAATCATGACATAAGATGTTGATGTTGTTTTGTTGACTATATTATTATTATTATTATTCAATACGACCATCATATCATCACACACATATATATATATATATATATATACATTTATAAAACAAAAGAGGAAGAAGGTTGAGGTAGGGGAGAGGGAGAACACGCAAAAATGCGAATCATTTTTAATAAATACACACACACACATACACACTGAGAAAAGTAAAATTAAGACCAACATTTTGACTTTTAGACAATTGTCTGAAAATTAACTGTCCTAGTAGAAACTCTACTTTCCTCTGATTTTAAAGCATCAAATCAAATGGCTTGAAAAAGTACTATAACTAAATTATGTGTGTATGTGTGTTCGTGTGTGTGTGTGTGTGTGTGTGTGTGTGCGTGCGTTGGAAACTTGAAAACTAGACCTTAAACACCTTTTACCAAGCAAAGTGTCATATATATATATATAAATCACAATTTTGAGCATATATATATATATAGTGAAAGAAGAAGGTTCTTTGAATAGTCCTTTTTCTTGCCAAATCATAAACTGACCTAGTGTAGTACACACACAGTGAGAAGAGAAAAAGAAGAAATGAAGAGAAAAATGAAGATGAAGAACCAATCATATAAGTTCTGAA